TTATTTATTTATTTTTAAAGAGGGAAGGGAGGGAGAAAGAGAGAGAGAGAGAGAGAAACATCAATGTGCAGTTGCTGGGGGCCGTGGCCTGCAACCCAGGCATGTGCCCTGACTGGGAATTGAACCTGCGACACTTTGGTTCACAGCCCGCGCCCAATCCACTGAACTACGCCAGCCAGGGCTATCCCCCTTTTTTCTTGATGCTCAAAGGTATGCATTCCCATTCATCCTATATTATTTTTTCTCTAATAATGAAATTTTTTAGATGACAATGTGCTCATTAGAATGCATCCTTGGTCAATGAAAGGTTACTATCAGTTATTTATAAAGAGTCCTACATTTTGACAGATTTACACATGAGGAAAAAGCATTTAATGGACTACAAAGTCTGTACTAATAAACCTACTTTTTTGAGTAAGGTACCCAAATTGACGGAGTCCTCCAAAAGCTAATCCAGGCCTAATGATTTCTTGGATCCCTGCTCTTCCTAATTAGAATCTCGCTTATTTGGTCTTCACTAGAATGTACCCCACCTTAAACCCAACTTCATTTTAGGATTCTGAAATAGCTTCATTCTGTATAGGCTAGATAATAGTGATTAAAACAAAGGTCTAGGGTTAAGACAGCCTTGATTTGGATTTAAAATTTGCTATTAATAACTATGTAAGTTTGGGCAACTTAAGTTCTCTAAGCCCTAGAACTAACAGAATTATAGTATCTAAAACTCATGGTGGTTATGAAGATAAATGTTATACGTGTAAGCTGCATAGCACAGTGCCTGACACAATAAGTGGTCAATAAAAGTTAGTGACTATGATAACAATGATGATTTTCTGTTTCACCGTCTTTTATTCTCACTGCCTCTCTGACTCTACTGTCTGCAGTCACCTTCCAAGCTTGATGAAGGTGGGAATAATGTAAAAACTAAAACCTCAGGAGAAGAACTAATCCAATAAAGTAAAACTCACTCTATATGTGGTCAACAGTCATCCCTGGTCATTTGTATATAAAGTCAAAAGGCAAAGCAAAGAGGCAGAAAAAAGAAATTAGTACGAATACAAGTATTTCTTTGGTAGCAAGAACATATTGGATATAAGCCATAGGAAGACATGAGAAAGAACAAATAAGTTGGGAAAATAACAACAAGAAGGAAGCAGAAGGCAGTTATCTAAAAGAGCAGGAAAATAAAAAGATTGGAAGGAGAATTTTAGGCAAAAGGATTTATGTATATATATTTAGTAAAGAGTATCTTTTAAGATGTGAGAGAAATGAGAACTGCTAAAGCAGCACAGCTTAAAAGGCTACCAATGAAAAGAGCAACACATTTTGTTGAGTAAGAAGCAATATTGTACATGAGTAAGCTAATAAAATTTTCACAGACTAGCAGTATGAAGAGCTATCTCCAAGGTTGGGCTAACCAACCAAAAAATAATACAGAATGTGCATGTTTACATTTATATCAACAGCTATATTATTTATCCTAAATATAGTGTAGGGGCATTAAAAGAAAAATCTATTCAATTGTCAACATGGGCCAATACTAAGACCTGCCCCTTTAAAGACTTTATCTACAGACTAATGAAAACTCATTAGACTGCTTAGCTTTCTAATGAAGCAACTGTATATAGATGAAACTTCATGATAATTTCCTTTCTTATCTAATGAAGCATTTCTCCAAACTAAAACTACAATCTTTTCTTTTCTTCTTTCTTTGTTTTTTTTTTTTTACCAAAGAGTACTGTATGGAATCTAACAAAAATAAATTTAAAAGTCAAAAATAGTATAATTTAAAAATCACTGGGAATAATGTAGACTCAAAAGTTCCACAACTCTACTGAGTTACTGTTTTTCCCAAGTCAATTAGAATCAAATGAAAAATAAAAACTTGTTTAAAATTATATCTTCACAGTTTACAAGCTGCTGAAATTTAATGTGTATTCAGACTCAAATGCTGCTTAGCAAAGAAAGCCTAAATATCATCTGAATTAGCACCATTCTGGTGAGAAAAAAAGTGTATTGTATCAAACAGGCTTGCTGTGTTATCTGTTCAAACATACCTGTACCAGTCACAAGTCCAGCACTCTTCTTTCGTGCATAAGCGCGTAAGTGGTTGGACAGGCTAACAGCACTTGTAAACGTCGTATTGCAATGCACACATGTTCTAAGCTTCACAGGCATACCTATCATTCAAAAGAAAACTATAATCCAGTTCTCACTTCTAAAGGCGTGAAGATAAGTACCACAATAAGATGGTTTAAAAAACGTTCATTGAATTAGCTTAAGTTAAAATAAGGAGGAGGAATTCAGTTAATTATTATTAGTTTGTTGTTAGTATTTAGAGCCAACCCATGCTCTTAGGAAAGGTGGAAGAGAAGTGTCTTGAACCTTGGAGCTCCTCTAGATTTCACACCTATAATAAATTTCTTGCAGATTTCTGTGTTACGCAGATCATTTTCTAAACCTAAAATACAATCCTGTGATTTGGATAGCATTAACTCTGTTGAGAAGTTTCAAAGCTCACAACATTATCAATAAAAAAAAAATTTAAGTCTAGTTAACAAAGTGGTAATTAAAGTGTTTTACCCACAAAACCGTAAAAGGCTCAGTACTAAATTAGGCTTTCTGATGAAGGCTGGGTGAAAAAGTGGTAAAACACACCACTGAACAGCTGTTAGACACAACATTTTTTTCAGGGCATAATATGTTCATTGCTCTGTGCAATCAATAGCGAAAGTTAATGATTTGAAGTTTTTGCTAAAATCTTTGTGTTAAATAAATGATCAACAAACTAACATCTTTGTCATCACAGGAAAGAAAACATGTTGAAACAATAAGAAATCCCTAACTTCTCAGACAACCCTCATTCCCCCAACACGTTTCAGCTGGTGTCTTCAACATTATTATGATAGCCACAAACATGCTTCTTCTCTCTGAAGTGTGCTACACTCTGCTCAACACAGCTAACACATCTTTCTTACATTTTATTCTTCTGAAAAATGCTAAAAATTTGACTTGGAAAGACTTCACACAAAAGAAAGAGCCCAATTAACCAGAAGCCCATGAAAATAAACTGTTTTTCAGACCACCTACAGTGCAAGGTAATCTTTCCTTAAATCAAAACTGCCTTATAAATATTTGGGATATACCAATGTCCATCCAAAGTAAATCAATATTACAGTAATTTTATTCAGTATTAATCCACTGGCCAACTTTTACCTTAGACACATTCAACTCAGGGCTGAAATTTTGAGACCATCTAAGTTAATCTTCAACATTCTTAACCTCCAAAAGAAACCAATAAAGACAATTAAAATTGTTCTAGCCTGAAAGTATAAACCGGACTTAGCAATACCTCATAAAGTTTGGTTAGTTTATCCACATCATTTGCCAACACATACAAAGTATTGAAAAGGAAAAACTATTGGTGCACAGGCACTAAACTAAACTATCTGTACTGTTCCGTTAGAACACTACTGTAAAAACTAAAACCCCAAACAAATGTTTCATACTCACAACAGGTCTCCAAAAACAAACTGTCCCACAATACGATGAGGAATTGGAAAGGGAGAAGTTTCTTTCGGGCAATCACAACACACAACAGACACCAATCCAGTCAGTTTAAAGAGTTTGTTTTGTTTTAACCTAAGCAGTAGGAAAACCAACAGCTAATTACTGAAAACATTATCACCCTGGAACACTTGGAGCACTGGCAAAGTATGACAGAAGTTTTGCCTTTTTGGTAATGCTATGCTTTTGAACAATGTCAACCTCCCATCCACAGAACCCATCCCCAGGTCACAGCAAATTTTATTTTTACATATCCATTTTTTTGTTTGTTTTTGCTTTTGTTCTCACCTTACTTTTTACCAAGAAATGAGGCACAGAGAATTCAGTGGTGAGCATCACCTGATGATTTTTATAGAAATGACAGTATAACCAATCTCTGCTCTGTAAAAAAAAAGCAGCTTAAAAGGATTCTAAGAAAGTATTTTCTACAAATGTTCCAATAAAATAACTAAATTGTTATGGAAGATAGTCATAAATGTTCTCTTACCTGAATGCATAGTGAAGTCCATTTTTTGTGGTTGATACATTAATGAACTATCTTCATTTAATGGAAGAACACATTTCTGAACAAATCTCTTTCTTGCAGTTTGATTATGGATCTTTTGTGGAAAAATAGCAGAATTCCTTTCTTCTCCCATCCTTTTATTTTTAAGCAGTTCTATCAGTGTAAGAGACTGGTTCTTTTTTCCACTGGGCAGTTCTGGTTTGGTTTCATCATATTCATTTAGGAAACTCAGCCCTTCTTCCTCTGATGCAGACACTGATATAGCTTCAGTCTTTAGGCCATTACGGTATGCTTCAAGAGGTATAACATTTTGAGATAGAAAGTCATCACTTGACGAAAGTTTTTGAGCTACAAATGGTCTGGGAATAATACGACGACTGTTCAATGCCTTTAAGATTTTTTCATATTTTTCTTCATTTTGCATCATCTCATTCAAAACACAAATTGGAGATTTGTGAGCATCCCACTTGGTCTTTCCAAGTCTTTTCAGGTGGCCTCTAACATGATTTGATAATCCAATTTTAGTATCAAACCAACCACCACAGAGCTGACAAGTGTGTTCAGAAGTGGTTTCAGACTTCTCTATAGCTAAAAAAAATTTTTTTAAGATATCAGAATTTTTTATAAATTGACCATCTTAAAGCCAATCAACTCTGAAATATGAAATTATGTGATGCTAGTAAAGACTGAATTTGAGCAAAACTTTCAAATCCTTTGAATTTGAGTACAGACATATTAGCCAAAGTATCTACAGGAAAACTTACCTTTTCTAACTCGCTTAACAGGTGTCCCTGTGCCAGTTCTTTTGAAATGTTGCATTTTGTCACTTGTGGCTATTTGTTCCGGTGATACAACATGACGGGCTTCATAGCTTAATCCTGCTCTGTGAAGATGTCCCCGGACATGATTCGACAACCCCACACCTGTTTCAAATGTTGCTGGGCAGTAAGGACATGATTTCTTCTCAAGAGACAAATCAGTCCAATGAAAAACAGAACTATGCTTTGTCAATGAAGTTTCTGTACTTTCTAAATGCTGAGGATCATGTATGTCATGCAAAAAGTTATTAGTTCCAGCATCTTCATAATATTCAAAATAAAAGCCATCATTTTGATCATAACTAAGGGTAGTATTTTCTCCAGGCTCTTCACCTTCCACTTTGCTTTTAAATAAAGGGAATAAGTTTACATGTTCTTGATTAATATCATTGTATGTTTCATCTTCTATAGCCTGTGTAGTGTAGTCACTTAGTTCAACATTATCCCAGGAACTTTCATCTTCTGTTTCATAGCTGTCTTTCTTTTCAGCAGAATTAAGTTTCTGCAAGACAACAACAGTCATTTTATGCAAGAAATCTGGATAGCTATCCAAGTCTTCTCCTCCAGCAGAATTTTCCTTCTTAGATTCCTTAACCACTCTCTTTATAGATACACGTCTGTGGTCTCTGAAGCTTTCTGGCCTTTTGGTGTCAGAGTTGTGAGAGTCTAAAATAAAACTATTGGTGTGAGAATTACTTGATGATGAAAACAGATGTACAGAACTTAATGAATCAGCTTCTTCTTTCTTGAAATGTAGAGGATATGATTCATCTGATTTTTTGATCATCCTGTAGTTTGCATATTTGTGTCTATATAAATAGTTGCTATTTGCCTTGGAATTAGATTTTTCTTTTGTTGCTTGATGGAAATACTTTGCTTTTTGGTCAATGCCACTTTTAATCATTACAGTCTTATGAGAATTGTTTTGATTGCACACATTTACAACACCTGACTGGGCAATGCTTTTCCGAGCTTTCTGTATTCTGTGTGGCCGCTTATGGAATTTTGAAAAATTATTTGATTGTGAGGATGATCCATATGTTCGCTTTACATCTTGTTTTACAGCAGAGTTCTTTGGAAATGTTGTTGACTGTTGCTTAATTAATGGTTTAGTGCTATCATTACCCAGAGGTTCTTCAAGGATGTTACCTTTTTTTTTACTAAGTCCAAGAGCACTGCCAAATGAATCAATGCATGATGATGAATGCAAGTACTCTATGTGTTTTTTCAAAATACTTCTGGCTGATGTAGTAAAAGGACACATTTTACATATGTAGGTAGCTGATTTTTTGGATGATCCTGTAACAGAGTCTTTCATGAAAGACTTTTTTTGCGTTTTTCTCTGGGCAACATCAGAACTGACAATAGGGCATTTTACCACTGCTCCATGGGCAATTCCTCGATGACATTCCAATTCATTTTCTGTTACTGCCATGAAGTTACACTCCTCACAGCAGTAGTACCTTTTATCTTTTTCATGGGTTTTAGCATGTTGCACAAATGTTTTAGGGCAATTGGTACCAAACACACACTGAGGGCACTGTAATCGTGCACTTCTTCCTTCATCCTGAAGTTCTTTCAACTCACGAATTTCCTCCATCAATTTCTGCCTTCTTTCTTGATGAATAATCATATGCTTTAGAAGTGAGTTTCGATCTCTAAATGTCCGCCCACATTCCCTACAAGCATATGGCCTTGGGACATTAAGATGGCGAAAGTGACTATTCCCATCTAAATGATACATCATATGCCTGTGGAGGTGCTTTTTCTCCCTAAAATTCACATTGCACTTTGTACAGGGGTAGAATGATGGCTCTTCGGTGCTGAAAGTAGCGGGTGACTCAGAATCACTTTCTTCACATTTTTTTTTTAAGGTATTTGAAAGAAAAGTGCTAGTATGAACAGGGGAACTGTCTTCTCCACACTTATCTGGATTATAAATTATATGTTGAAAAGCATCCACAGACTCCAAGTCTTCATCAGTTGATTCAGGCTTCACTTTTGATAATGCATATTTCTGTGAATCTATTGCTTGCAGTTCTTCATTCTGTTCCAGAAAGTCTACTTCTAGCATCTTTGATTTATTGGGTATACAATTAGAATCACTTAAACAATCCTCAGTATAACGAGTTATCTTGCTTACATCCATTTTTCGCTTTCTCTTTTTTTCTAGACCTACTTTAGAATGAACTGGAGCTTTATCCACTGTCTCTTCATTAGTTATAAGAAACTGAATGAATTCCTTTTGGGGGTCCCAGTTTGTATCATTTTCTGACCTAAATTCATCTGTACCTGAGGAAATGCCTGTTAATGTATCGACACAATCATCTTTTACCAATAAATCTTCACTATCCTCACCCACCTCTACTTGATTTATTAAAGTGCTATCTGACTTTACACTACTCCCTACTGAATTCTGAATGTCACAACCAATGGAAGCAGAGGTAGGTAGTTTTTTAATGGAATGGGGTGGATTCTTAGCATGTGCTACATCTGATAACAAAAACAAAACTTGGTGTTGACTTGCTTTCTGTGGTGTACACAGCTGTAGATCAGCTGCCACTTTCGAAGTTGAACAAGAGTCTGTTGTTGGCTGATCCACAGGCTGTCCAGAGGTTAATGAAACACTGCCTTTATTCATATTGGAAGTCTTAGTTAAGGAGGAGTGTGAAACTGGTCCATTAACAGCAGCTCCTTGAGGCAAGATAAAGTTTTCACTAGAAACAGTAGGAGCACCAGCATGTATAAATACAGTAGACTGGCCTCCACTTAAGGCTTTTTCAGATTTGTCCTTTGACAGTTCTTCAGGCAGAGTGAATGTATTACTATTCTGAAATGTCTGACAATCTTTTGGTTTATGAACTCTACTTTCTTTATCTGAGATAAAATTGCTGTCATCTAGGAGTTCTTCTTTAGCACCAGTAATATCGGTGTTTATCTTCAAATCGTCCATATTGTTCGCAAGCCATTTAACACATTTAGTCTAGAAAATGGAAAAAAAAAATTTAGATTTGCATGAAAGAAAGAATACTATTAGAATGTATGGAGAGTTGGAAGTACACATTTTTATCAGCTTAATTATACTCTTTCTATTGAGATGCTTATAATTTCCTAAGAATAAAGAAACTTAAAACAACTAAAAAACTTTAAATGTCTCAAAGATTAATTTTTCTTTGTGCTTGGCAACAACTCAGAACCATATGTACACACAAACCCCTAAGAAAAAGCAACATAAAGAGATACACAGAGACACATATAATATAAATAAATATGCCACGGATGAAGAAAAAACTTTAAAATCTCATATATAGATGGCTAATAAAAATAAAATTATCTCGCTTAAGTAGATTTAAGGGTAGTCACTCTAATAGAGAATAATGTAAATTGTTAAACATTGCAGAGAAGTAAGTTTTGTCACTTAAAAGTTCATTCCTGGAAGAAGGTAACACCACACCATTTGGTAAAGAAACTTACTTGCTATCAGTATCAGTGGCTAATGTATGTAACATTTTTAACTATATAAAAATTTAAGACTGCTTTGCTCTCAATATTTTACATTCTCCTAAAATTCTCCTAATTCAAAAAATGTTTTATTCACAGTTTCATTCATTTCTTATGTAAATTACTCTTAGTTCTAAATTAGTGAAGTTAACATGAATGTTTTACATCTAACTTTAAACTTCCATAACTTGAGCCCCCAAATTCTAGGCATTCCCTAAATGCAGTTATCCCATTTATCACCTGACAGTCTACAGTAATAGCCTAAAACTTTTTACTCTGAAACATCATAAATATGTCATGTTTTTAGGTTACTTTATATTAAAATGTAGATAAAATTTTTTTCTAGGTATTTTTGACAATATATTTAAACTTTATGAGAAGACAGAACACTTTTCAAAAGACTGCTAAAAGTTTCGGAGATACATGTACACACATATACATCATGGTTATAATTACATGGTTATGAAGATTTTCCTTGCACTCTGTTCTTACCCTGCTCTTAAAAAATGGCCACACTGTACAGGAATTGCCTCTCTTTGGAAGAATGTAAGATCTTGGAAGGCAGAAACCATGACCTAGTGATCTTCATATCCCTAGAACCTAACACAGCACTTGGCATAGGTGCTCAGGCAATATTTGTTGAATAAAGGAATAAAGTGTTGAATGAATAAAACACAACCGCAAAATCAAAACAAATAGTCCTAAAGTATAGGAAGAAACAGTTTTTTTCCTATGAAATCTGGATTTCCCATTCAAATAATGCAAATTCCATCATGGTCCTGATTTCTTGACTTACCTATTAGGGCAAGGCATTCAAAATATCCAATAAGCCTCAAGTACAATTTAAAGAACCTACTATTTGACAACCCTAAGTATTAATTATTTGAAGTGCCAGCATAAAATTCCATATTCCTTTTCCTTTTCTAACAGAGTAGTAAGTACAGTTTGCTCACTCTCCAAATGTTTACTGAGCCTTTACTATGTGCCAAGCAATGCTCTATTATTAAGTATACAGTTATAAACAAGAGAGACTAATTTTCTGCTCTCAGAACAAAGCCTTCTACTTTTATGGTATTTGAAATTTGTCTAATGAATAATCCATTTTAGGACAGCAGGAGTTTACAATCCAATAGTTAGAAATTAAACATTTTCAATAAAGTGTATTGTTTCTAATATCTTCTAGGTTACCAATTACATGCTTTGGAAAGCATTAAGTCTAATTTGAGAGTAAAAAAGTTGTTTCTAATTACTTTCTTATTTCTCAGCTTGGAACAAACACTTATAAATATGATCTTATCTTATTAGCAGATATGTTCTTTGATGCAACATACATTACAAATATCTTTCTTTGGTATTACTATTTACACCAACAATCATTTTTCTGCCCCTCATAGGTCTTAGAATTCTGTTCTGAGGTTGGCAAACTTCCAAACTAATAAAAATAGACTTCCAATAAGATCATACTCAATGATATCACCCCAAAATGGTGCTAATGCAGCACCCAGCAGGAATCTCTTCATCACATACACAGAAGTTAAAAATGGGCAGCACATAAACATGTGTTAGGAAAGAGTGTGCAAATGTCAGTGAAAAGAAAAGCAAACACTGATGCAAACACTATTATTCATTCCTGATACTTCTCATTAAGTTTGGTATAAAAACAAAAATGCCCAGACAGGAATAATCTCACATAAATGTGAAATGAATGACAGAAATTTTTAAAAACTACACTGCAAGACACTTTCTGTTCCTACTTATTATAATCAGAGGTAGACAAATATATGCTCAAGTCAATTTGAAAGCCTGTATTAGCTTTTCTCAACAGGAAGCAACGTTGCTAACGAAGTGGTAAATTCAGTGTTAATGAGTGGCTTCACTGTTACCACCTCAGAGGTAAAACCTTCCATGTTCCATGTTCTACCCATCTGTTCTGGTGTTAGAGGTTCAGAGATAGAACAGACGCTTCCCATTTAAAGCAACTTCATTGGTAACCCCTGAACAGCAGGGTGACAAACTATGATCATGACGGCTTGGAGACTGCATCCTCATTACCAGAATGGCTTTCTGAGAGCTTTAGGAAAGTTCACATTCTGAAGATACCAAACTGTTTTTGCTCAAAAACATAACAAGAATATATATGCATAATAAGGGTCTTTCCTCTACAAAATGCATCTAGCAAAAAAAAAAAGATTAAAAAATAAAATGAAGTCTTTAACAATCAAAATTTTCCTTCACAACTACACAATGAAATATGCCTTACTTGCCCCCAAACATTTAATGTTAGCTCTACTCAAAAACAGAGAAGTTACTGTTTTTCTGAATATTTTCTTATTAGCACATGCATATTAAAAATCATCAGTTAAAAAACAGGCTATAAGAAATTGGCTAAGATGGTATTTTAGCAAAAATAAAAAAATTTCCTGTTTTAAATTTCAGAATGTATTTTAACTGGAAAAGGTTCAAAATACATTTTTAATAGTATTCAAGACTCTTAGCTGTTGCATCGAGACACAGGACACAAAGATGGGTCAACAAAATATCCTGCACTGAATAATGGACCTAGAATTCTTACATCAAAAATAATCTCTCTACAGTCATGGGTGATTATATGGCATCTAGGCAAGAAAGCATTTGAACTGTAGGCTAATTTCACACTGTCTCATATAGCTTTTCCAAGTATCTTTATACAGTCAAATATATATAACAGAGCCACCAACACTATTTCATGTTAATATAACCAAGTAGGGAGCATATTTGAAAAAAGGCATTATTTATTAAGTTTAAAAAAAAGGGAAACTAATAAATTAAAAAGCAAACAAATGTTATATTGCTTGGAATCCCTAAATTTCAATGAATTAGCTATATCAATTAGGATATTTTTATAAAATGTTTAGACATTACTATGTCCTTCATATAATCATAACCACAGAATTTTTCTTTTAATTGAATTTTAAAATGTTCTTGTGGAAAATTAACACACTTTATAAAAAGCTGCAAATGGAATTTTAAATCTACATAAAACATATTTCACTTTCTAGAAAATCATAATGAGTTCTACAGCTGTAACTGCCTGTAGTTATATACTGTGAGCATTAAAAAAAAAGTACAAAGGTCAGATCTGTCTTCAAGATGACAGATCATCACTTATATGCCTCAAGCTAGATTTATTGTCTCAGAAATCTCAAACATCAGTATTTTTGCAAACTATCAGCACTTGCTATAACACCCTCACTACACTACATCTTGAGGTTACTACAGAAGAAATGAGGTGATAATTGCATATTAACATAATTATTCTGTAATCCCTCTGAGCAAGCTTCCTAGGTCACTCAGTAATTCAGATTATATACAATCTGCCTGTCATCAAATCTATGCTGCCCACTTTCTGTTCATGAATAACTTTTTGATAGAAAATCAGCTTAATTTCATTCTTTTATGTACATTAACTGTATGTAATTGTATTTATTGCAAGTAGGTTAATATTTTGTGGGTACTTACTGCACATGCCAACCTTTGTCATTCAGTATAATTTCACATAAAAATATAGTACAATTTGGCCTTGTTCTACATTAGTTCATTAATAACTACATTACACAGCCCTAAATAAATTATCACATTGCCCACTAGCTGAGTTACAGTTAGGATCTGTCAAATTTTCACAAACCCTATGTTGTTCATTTAAATTATCCTTGAGAACACATGATGACTTCAGTTAGTCATATATGCAATTGGGTTAAGAAGAGAAAACCATTCACAACTGTCATTCTAACTGCAAGACAAATATTAATTAACTGAAATGCTACATCTAAGATTACTGTAGTATTCAGGCCTATATATACACAATATACAAACATATATACCCAAATCTCATCTAGTTAACAGTGCAAGTGAAAAAGAGTATACTATATATCCATATCATCCAGGCAGTATCTTACTCTGGATGTCATGTTGAGAGGAAACACTAAAAAGATACAGAACATTCAAAAGAATTCCAACATGCCACATAATGAAATAAAAAGAAAACCTGGTATGTTTAGCCTAATAAATAGTCAATACAATTAACAATCTTCAAATGTTTAAAGCTTTCCAAAGCAAAAGAAAAATACACAATCAATGTGTTTGAGTCATAAAGATATAGATTTCATCCCAAGAAGAAAAACTAGGTTAAACGTGAATAATTCAACATTGCAAAGGGTGGTGAACTGAATGGCTCAGCATGTTGAACTATTTGTCAGGAACAATGTAGAAGGGAATATGGCACTGGAGATTGGATAAAATGATTTTAACGTCCTTCCTCCTCACAACTAGTATATATGTTTAATGTTTGCTTATTACATTATTAACATTTAATACCATTTGAAATGAGCTAAAAACAGAATTAAATACACTACTGGACTTTAAAAACATTCTCTAAATTCAAAATTACCTGAAATAATCCTTTAGTTAACTTGTAGTATGTTGGTAAGCTGTTTCTTGAACAAA